GATGAGTAGCCTGGGTTCCCTTGTTTTTAGTCCTTTTCCAGCCACCCTCCATTGCAGGTCTCCACCCAGAGGCTCACAGTTTTCATCTCTGCCTCTTGGTCCCCTCAGCCCCTTGATCCATTTAATGTTAAAGAGTTGCCACATTAGAAGATTTTATGTATATCCTGGTATTTCTTACTTTGAAAAATAGGGTCTATGTTGAAGGCGTTCATTTTCACGTGAGAGCCAGTGCTCCTGTACTAGTGTGCATCAGTCTTTCTGTGCCTTTGTCTCCTACTTTTCTGCAGAGCGGTCAGTCATGGTTGGGCGAGCTTGCTTTACTCCTGCATCATAGGCAGTTGGGTTTGTGGCCCCTGATGTGCACGTGGTCTGGGAAGATCTGTTCGATTATTTCCAGTTCCACTTAGTGGATTTTTTCAATGCATTCAGTCTCCCTGAGACATTTTACAGGACTTGAACCAGAATTGCGACTGTATCTTCTATCAAGAGCATTTCTTCTTTATGATAATTAAGGTCATTTTTATAGGAAATAATTTTGTAAGGAAATAACTTTTAGAATTCAATGCCAACAGAAAGGAAAGATTTTTCTCTCTTGAATAACTTTTATAATGTGTTGTTTTTGTCATTTCATCCTGGCTACCAGAATTTCAGCACTCCACTTAATAATGCGCCATGATTCTGGGAATCTCTCTCCCTTAGTTTGCACCCTTGCTTCTCTATATATTATGTTAATTCTAACACTTCACCTGAAAACACAGATACACCTATTTTACAAGCAGCCTTTTAGTCCATTTTGTGGGATACTAGGAGTCGTCACAGTAGTATGGAAATGTTGCTAACTTCTCCAAACTGTCCTGCACATTGACAACAGTTTTGTATTTATGAAATTCTCCTCAGGCTGTGTTATTATTTTCTTGCTATTTCAGGAGTGGTAATGCCTTCCTGTCATTAGCAAGAGGTGCGATTTGTTTATTGATGCACAGGACACTGTACCACGGCTCTCAGTCCTGCCTTCCCCTCCCACAGCATCCTCCACTTCTGCTCCACGATGCCGGCAGCTCTGCGCAGACTCCATTCTTGGACCAGGCCGGGATGATTCCCTGTTGCTCATCGGTCACAACACCACTGCTCCGCCTGTAGTCACTCCAGCATTTGAAACAGACATCTACCGTAACTCTGTCCTTTCTTATGAAATTCATGGCTGCTCTTATACTTTCAGTATGACTGATAATCTGCCCAATACCTAAGAGAATGCTGCGCTCATGAACTGATGATCTGCTGCAATCTTGATAGACTTAGAAGGCCTGATACATTTTATATATTTTTTTACTGTAAACAACAGAAGATCCATTTTGGAATAATTATTGAGTATTTACCATTTGTCTCATGCTCTTCTAATAGGTATTCAGCCAGTCTTTCCAACTATCTTATTAGCCTATCATTTTTGTCCTTGTTTTAGAGAAAAGGAAACTAAATCCCAGAGAAATTAAGCAATTTCCTCCAGGTACGCACTGCTAGTAAGGAGCAGGACCGGGATTGGACCCTGAAGATCTCACTCCACAGACAGTATTCATCTGTTGCATTGCCTTCCATTTATGTACTGAAAGCATATTTATTCCTTATGACACCAAATAAATAGTAAGTGCTTCAGCTTTCATTAATTCTATTACTTCTCACGAGAATACTGCCATTATCTTTAGCTTCATTCTTTGAGGGACAGATTAAGTTCTTGAAAATTAAGTTCGAGAAATTTTACTATGCTTAACATCTATGGACATTTTGTGTGAGTCTCTGCATGTGTGTGTGTGTGTGTGTGTGTGTGTGTGTGTGTGTGTGATTTAATTGTATAGCCAGGAATTAAAAATAGCTAAAAATGTCTCGACCAATCTCTACCTTCATTATGAAGGCAATGGTCGTCAGTTGCATAGAACAAGAGAATCACATACCTGTGAAATCACAAAACGAAGCTGTGGAATTAACTGACTTAAAATCCTAAGATGCAAACACGCATCTGAGAAGATCGATGTAGGATCGGAAGTCCTGAAGGATCCACTGGCAATAAAGTACTCCTTCCCAACTAGGAGTCTCCCTTCTCCTTTGTATTCCAATCAGCCTGTTCAGAGTGGAGGCATAAGAAGTGTCCTCCATGTTCTGCACATGAGGCAGAAACGGTCAGACGAACCCCTTGGTGGATCTACATTTCCAGAACTGCAGGTCCTGACATCCATCAATAAAGGATGAGCATTAGTGATACCCTCACATCAGCATGGATCAGGCCTTGGCCAGAAAACCCCATGGCTCAGAAGGCCGAAGCCATCTTTCTCTGAGTGACCTGCCAGTGTGATTTTTTTTCCCCATTGAGTTTATTGGTACTTTTTAGGTATACAGTTCAGTTACCTTCATCATCGGGATCTTGTACCTTCACATGACAGATCTTGGTTCTCATTTTTCCCCATCCCCCTGCCCTCCCTTCACCCTTTTCTCCCTCCCCTATTTACAAAGACTTTGCTTCCATTTTTTCCTTTTCTCATATTTTTTGTTTTCCCTCTTTCCTTTCCCCTACCTGCCAGGGTGATTCTTATCATTTTACTCCACAGTGATTTTCAAACAGTAGATATAATGCTTGGATGCTTAGATGTCTTGGCCAACCTTAATAAAAAGAAAAGCCACATGTCATAGTCTACCTGTCTGTTCTAGAAGGTTTAGTTTCTCAGAGTATGCTTTTTGGGGACAGGCCAGCTTTATCGCATTCCATTTGGTTTGCCCACCACTCAGGTGTGCATATATACTACTTCATCAGATTTTTTTCTTTTCTGAAGCAAGGCTTAGAAACTGCCTCAGCTGAACACTTGCTTATTGGGAGACCCCTAGACCTAGTAGGAGGATACTTGGGGAACTAGAATTGATTGGGAAGCCAAAGCAATTGCTTTGATGGAATCTTACTGAACCTGGGATAGCATAATCTAGAAGAAGTGAAGATCTACACGAATTCCTTTGGTGGGTGGTTACCTGATTTCTGGCTCTCCAGAAGAGCAGAATCTATATAACTACATGCATAGCTGTACAAAGGGTAGGCTTACAGGATCAGAGGCAGAAGACTTACAATGACTGTTTCCAGGATTGAGATGGAAGAATCCAAAATGCCCATCTGTGCACAGGAGAGCCAGAGGATCCCACAGCAGCTGGGCATGCTAGGCCTAGAGGCTCACTGTAGTGTTAGTGCTTGAGTCTTTGTTAGGAGGCTGAGGAGTACATTAGAAGGCTGAAGAAATGGAGACCCACGTCCAAATGCAAGGACAAAGACTGGAGCTCTTACAAAAGGGAATGGGCACTTCCTTCTTCTTCTTCCCCTTTTATTTTGTCCACGCTGCAAGTCTCTTGGTTGATGCCATCTGTCCCAGCTGGGTCTTCTGCCATCTGTCTGCTGGCCTACGTGTCAGTTATCCATGGGTGCACCAGAATTCACTAACCCACTACGCGGGTCTTAAGTCAAGTTGACATGCCAGAATTTATGACCGTGCTAGCCTGTCTTTTGTTTTCTTGACTCTTATCCTGTTGATAGATTTATCTGTCGCCTTGTCATGAAAAACATCGGCCATCAGCAAAATCCATTCCCCTTAGAAACCTATTTACTCTCAGAGAATTAGCTAGTTAGGGAGTGTTCCAAATTAATTGCATCTTGCTAAAAGTACCATCTGATCAGTGACTCTGGGAAATATTGAAATAAATTTCCTATGTACAATCATAGCACATTCATTACGATAGTTAGCATATATTCACCTTAGAGATTTTTTTGTTGTTTAGATCCTAAATGGTTTTTTCAGAGTGCATATGCAACATATTTTTTAAAAGAAAACCAGAAGTTATTTTCTACAATGGTAAAATATACTGAGGTAAAATGAAAATCTGTGTATATTTTTCAGTGCAGTGATCTTTATTAAAAGGACCAATGAAAATAAAGCCACTTTGCATCTGTGTTTCATGTGCATAGACTACACAGTGTTAAGCAGTCACCATTTTAAATAAGCTTAACTGTCTTCCATGGTTTGTAATAGGAAATTCAAAGTTTAAAATTATACTTAATAGATATCTAACACAATACTTGTGGATTGCAACTTTTCATGTTCATGGAAATACAAATTGTCATATTCATCATTATTCATTCTAAAATAAGAATTTTTACAAGTATTTAGAAATCATCTCAATTTGTGATATTAATGATGTTCTGAAATTAATACGCTCTTTGCTACCTGTGGATAATGGGTGAGCCTAGTGGTATTTAACATGTTTTCCTCTTCCCCAAAATGTCTGACAGCTTTCTTTCAGGACAACTCTTGATATTTACCTTCTGGAATTCCGATGAGGCTTTATGGCCCGAAACCAGATACTACCAGCTCTTGTCACTGTGATCAGCTAACATGACATCTGGCCTCTGGTGTTACCCAGAAAAATCTCTGCTGGCTAAATTGTGTACTTGCTGATTGTCATGGTTTTGTTTTGAAGTTTCAGTTGATTATTTCATAGGGAGAATGTAAATGTATCAGCCTGCAAAGCCATTGATCCAAATTACAACCAGCAACTGTTAAAAGTTTCGCATGATTATTCCTAAAGAAATATGTCAAGCAGATTATAACTGACACATATATTTTATTTTTGTTGTTTATGAATATATAATGGTACTTTAATGCTCCCTGGCTGTTTATAAGTCTGTTTGAACTCTAGTCTGTTTTAGCAAAAATATTTAGCTTGCTTATGTCTATTAAAGGGCAGTCATAGTTCTGTGTACATGTGTTCCCAAAGGAACAGATTCTGCTCAATTCTTTTTGTTTTGAAAGAGTGAACAGACAATCACTGTCTTCAAAAGAAGTGGATCTACCCATCTCCACCAGAGGGCTGACATTTTCTCACCATGTTGGGTGAAATTCTGAGATTAAGTGGAAAGCACTGTGAAAATCCTTTTCCTTCCTCTAACTTTTTTTTTTTTTCTATTTTCTCCACAGGAACTTTTTACCCCTGAATGCAAATTTAAAGAGTCTGTTTTTGAAAACTATTATGTAATCTACTCATCCATGCTGTACAGACAACAGGAATCTGGTAGAGCCTGGTTTTTGGGATTAAATAAGGAAGGGCAAGTTATGAAAGGGAACAGAGTAAAGAAAACCAAACCAGCAGCTCATTTTCTACCCAAGCCATTGGAAGGTGAGTGTTGGTGGGCATTGTCCTCATCAGACTTAGCACCTGCTTTAGTTTTTACCTTGATAGCTGTGCGTGGCTAAGGGAATCTCCACAGACTCTCATGTCATGTGCTTCATTCTCTGTACTCAAAATGTCCTTTATTTTGATCTGGGTGGTACTTGCACAAATGTGTACTTAAGTTGCTCATTTAAGCTTTCTGGGGCTAGACATGTAGCTGAGTGATTAGCACATGTGAAGTCCTGAGTTCACATAATTCCCAGCAACACAAGGGAAGGAAAGGAGGAAGGCAGAAGGAATGGAACGGGGGGAGGAAACACTGTGTCCTTCAAACACTTGTGTGTACCTGTGTGTGTGTATTGTGTATGTATGTACAATTGATGATATATATCGAGATACTACTACAACCACTCTAACCTCTAGGTCATTTTAATTCATTAATTGAAAAAATTATATTTAGATAGACAATGATATTACAAATTTATGATGATCAGTACATTAAAAATAGAGTTTGCATATGGAATCAAAAGCATCTCCTCATTTTTGCAGTTTGTTCACAAGTAATGCCGTATTTGTAAATTTTTATAATTTACAAAAACGAAGTGACCCTTAAAGATCTTCTTGACATCGCACATCTCCTTCCAAACTCATAAATTTAAAAAAAAATTATCTCATCACTTTTAAACAATGGGGTCTTCACATTTACTTTGATCAGATCCCAAGGAACAGGCTAAACAGTTCTGATAATTAGTTAGAAACACCTGTACTTTTCTCACTAGTTATTCTGCTAGAAGGGTTATTTACTTTTATTTATGTAACTTTTTTTTGAGAGCCACAAAAATAAAATTGATTTTGAGGCTATTCAAAAGTGTCTTCTAAAGAAATAAGAGTATGAACAAAGCAAAGAAAAACTCACTGTAGTCAAAGTCCTTGTGATCACCAAAGCCACCGATCTGTGCTAAAAGAACCAAAACTAGAGATGCACACAGGGGCTAGAAATGGCACCTTCCAAGGTCATAGCAAGACCCAAACAGTTCTGGCTGGGGTTACTCCATATTGGTACATCGGCCTCCAGAACCTTTATATTTTTTGAAGTGGAGACCCCAGAGGGTCTTTTCATGTGGATTATAATAATTACTAAAAATTAAAAACAGGTAAGAAGCTTTGGTGGCATTTTCATTCCTTGTTTGAAAATCTGCATTGGCATTTAAGGAGTTCATAATATCTACACTCAGAATTTCATTCCTTTCCCTTCAAACTCTTACTGGTGTCAATATGATGCTGCCATTTTACTGGCTTTCCAACCCATTGAGAAAGACTCTCCTGTCTGAACTTGGGTTGGGCTCCTGTTCACCTTCCAGGCCTTGACCCTGGTTTCCTCATGTCTGGCCCACATTACCTAGGAGTAGAAAGGATTTTACTGATCGTTGTAGAGAGAATCTCCCTCAGATCTTGCCATCTTTAATATCTCTTCAGATCCCCCACTTTGATATCCAATCATACTCACCTGTCTTCAGCATGAATCCTTTTAGGTCTGTCTCACTAGAAAGCCCTCTGTCTGATGTTCCCTCTTAGGGTTATTTCTGTGCGTTGATTTCATCCCTGCTCCTGGTCTGATATCCCCATTGGTCCACACTGAGTTCAGAATAGAGCCTAACTCCCATACTGAGATCTCTTTCCCCTACTGCAATAATTCTGGCGTAAAGCTTGCTTTAATACTTTAAAAATGTTTTTATTCATATATTTTTGTTCACTTGCTTGCAGAAGATCAGATCTATAATAACTGAATAAATATTTTAAGCTAGCTTAGTTCAGTTTCCCTAGCCATCAAGAGAAATACGTATTAGTTTTGCAATATGTTCTCTAAATAGAAACATCTGAAACTTTTACAGTGAACTTGTCATTATCTGTGAGTCTATAAGAAAGTATGTTTCTCTAAATTTGGAAAATTAGTCCTGTTGGTTAATATTGTCTTCATAGTCTCAAAGATTTTTAGCTGCCTCTCAGTCTTAATTAAATTTCTTCTACAATGATTAGTTGAAGTCCAAACAGCCACTAGGGCCTATTTATGAAAGCGCATATTTCAGTCTGATATATAAGTAAATGCTTTTCATTATATGGTACATCATAAGGAAAATTGGAGTAAAATAAGTTACTCTGCTTCTCTGTTCTTCCTAAATAACATAACTACGATAGGATTTGTTATTTCAAATAGCTCTTGATATAATTCCATTAGACTTGCCAATATTAAAATGCAGATGAAGAATAAAAAACAGCCCATAATAGCGCTATAGAAATCTGTTTGTTTGCTACCTTATTTAGACTCTTCTCACTAATCATATGATTTGAACATAGACATGAGCAGACTAAATTTCTAAAACCTTAACTTTTAACTGCACAAAAGTAATGAAAAACAATAGGACTTTATGTCCCTTAACTGAGGTAAAATGTGAAAAGCAATTAATTTTTGGAGCCCATAGGAAATATATGAGGTTCTAATGATGTAACATAATATTATTTTGGTGTTTCTGTCATATGTTGAATTGTTGTCTCTGAGTGTTGTGTGTGTGTTTATATGTGAGGAATGGAAATAGTCCTTTCCATCAATTTTCAAATAATTATCAGTCAGAAGCACTCTAAAAAACAGGGGAGTAAGCACTATAATGACAGAGTTTATAATGCATTTACATGACAGGGTAATATTAATTTCAAAGTTTCAAAACTGATGCAGGCTGTAAATTATATTATTGCAAATGTCAGAACAAATTAGGCACTGATTTACTATTGATAGGGCATCCATATTTGTTATGCAACTTTATCAAGGAAATAATCTTAAGTCAATGCTTTGATCTCGTAATTTAATTAGTCATGGGGGCAAGAAAGTGGGAGGTGTTTCAAGGATACGCATTTGTTCCTCCTTCCTCCTGGCCAAGTCTTCTCATACAGGTCCAGTATCCATTTGAATTTCTAATCTACAAACTGCTGCAAATTCACCTGATGCACTGATGTAAAAAGGCAAAATTCTACCTCTGTGCACACAGAGGACACCTATGGTAGATTATCCTAACGCAACAGAAGGACTCTTCAAAAAACAAAAACCGTCAATCTTTTCAACCTAACAAGCTTGAGAGTAGTTTATTTACTTGTGTTCTATGGTAGATGACTTTAACTCAACTAGTTTTCTCCAAGTATCAGATGTTCTAAAAGCCTTTTCCCAGTACTTCCTGAACCCGTTTTCTAAAATGTCTCATGAACTGTACTGATTTTGCCACCAGACACCAGACAGTTCCCTCGGGCCTTATTCTCTGTTGCTATCTTGCCATTCTCCACGTTTTCCCTGAATGATATCTCCGTTATGAGAGTTTTAATAATATAACAGAAAATGAGGCATAAAAAATTTAAAGGCCACACAGTTGCCTTAAGGTATTTAAGGATTTCTTTCTATGAGTATGGGAAATAAAATCAAAGCAATGATCTCAGAAGGCCCTGACTTAAAGAAGGGGAGTTCTCTATTGTTGTTTTGAAGCTAGCACTAGAGTGACTACGTTGCTTTCCAACCACTTGGGAGAAAAATAAGTCGATGATCTAGGGTATGAATAGTCCAGTTCTAAAAGAAGAATTGAAATGAGAAGTTCAAGTGTTGGATCATTGTGCAGTGGAAAGGAAACCAAAGGGTTTTTCTTTAAATGTGTGGGGTGTGCGTGTGTGTGTGTGTGTGTGTGTGTGTGAGAGAGAGAGAGAGAGAGAGAGAGAGAGAGAGAGAGAGAGAGAGAGAGATAAGTCCACAAAGAGGCTACAACACCCATTTAAACCTCCAGGATAACAATTCATGTGAATACATGCACATATTATGGGTGTATAAACCAGAGAACCCGAAAGAGTGAAACACACACACACACACACACACACACACACATGCACGCACATACACACACACACACACAATTGGATTATTTTCATGGGGGAAGAGGACAAAAATGGGTCAGCTACTGAGTTCCTTTGCATGTACAGGTGGGCCGTTCTTGCATGTAACCAAACACCATTTGCTTTTCCTCTTCCTCTCTTCCCACCACTAGTTGCCATGTACCGAGAACCATCTTTGCATGATGTTGGCGAAACGGTCCCGAAAACTGGGGTGACGCCAAGTAAAAGCACAAGTGCATCGGCAATAATGAATGGAGGAAAACCAGTCAACAAGAACAAGACCACATAGCCAGATCCTCACAGGTGGTGTGACTTTCTCAAGCCGAGCACAGTTGAGTGATTTATCCTTTCCAGACATTCCTCTCCCAGGCCCAGGAACAGCAGCAGGGGGCACATGAATGCTTTCCCGTTGCTCTCCCAGAACTTCTTTGTTGCAAAAGGATAAATCTCAACCTGTGGCCCCCACACAAGAAGACACCTGGACAACCAGCTAAACTCAGACCATGGAATGCCCTACCAGATATGGAATGCCTTTTTACTATCTTTTCTGTGACTGTGACACTTCATGTGAATGACACACTTCACAAGTACACTCGATACCTTGCCTGCTGACAGCTCCCGTAACCCTTTTTGAGTCCTGTTTCAGCGAAATCCATGTGTTTAAGTTCGATTTTGTAGCACACCAATAATATTGAGTAATTTCTAGTTAGAAGCTGTAAAACTGTGCTATTATGGATTTCTCTTCTCCCCATTTTTACAGGGCTGCTTGCTCCACTGTCTGTGACCTTTTGCAGGGATTGTGTTCCTCTAAATCTGAGATGTTGCAGTTGGCTTAGTTTGGAGAGCAATCAGGGAATCAGGAAGTCTTCTACACCTATTATTACAATTGCATCTCTAAAGATTAAGAATGTTGTCTCTGGCTCACATTACTGATTAAACACACATATACTCTATCTGGTAGCAGGTATGGCGCTCCCAAGGTTGGCATTGGTTGGTAGGATGAGGGTCAAACACTGTCCATGGAAAGCTCTCTGCGTTATGTGTTTGACATGCCCTCTAGTTTCTGTGTGTGTGTGTTTTTTCTACATATCACAAGCTTACTGGTAATGGTAACATTTGCCTTGCCCAGCGAGCAAGACCCACTCGTTTTTGAGAAAGTGGGTCCAAAGAATTCTGTAGGCCTTGTAGGCCTGATTAAGGTTCATTTTTCATCTATTCATCTTCATTATTGGGAAAAAAGGGGGGATCAATCATTACAACTGACAAAGAAGTGCGCTACCTAAATCCGTTTCCAATCAACTCCTACCTGTTTTTAATGAACCGAACTAATACCATCCCTGTTTTGGGCTGCGTTCCACTCATACCCAGCCAAGCATGGGCAAGGCGGCTGTTGAGTTCTTTTCTGCAGCAGCAATGCAAATGTTAGGTATAAATTAGACTTTAATATTTTTGGTGTTTGATGACAAGTTTTTAAAATGGACCTATTAGGAAAAAAATATTTTTTTTAGCTCAGCATGCTGAGTCAGGTACCATGGACCTCACCAGTACATACCTCTAGCTTGGCCTCTGGGGTCCCCGTTCGCCCCCTGGTTGGATTAGAGGTGCCTTGCTATGATCTCAGAATTATCCTAGATAAAAATAAAGGCAAACCAACACACTCATATATCAGGTTTGGGGGCCATTGGTTTATTTACTTTTATGTTGCTTTCTTCGTTTTTTTTTTTTTATTGACAACCTTTCGACTCTGAGCTTAGGGGAGACACCTACCAAGGAGGGCCAGGAATAGTTGACTATCCCGTGAAGAGTCCATGCAAAACGTTCAATATCAGATATAACGAGCTTCTCGATGTTCAATACGCAACTGTTTGGAAATATATTTGTTAACTCTGTGTGCTCTTAATAAAATTCAATGTTTTCTTCTCAGAAGAGTTAATTGAGACCAAACTGAACCTCGTTTATGGAAAACAATCTGTGAGATCAATGTACTGGCCTATTGTTTTTATTCCCAGGGGGAAGGGCAGCCCATTTGCCATTTCCCCCCATCTGCACTGTATTTACTGGGAAATTATTTTGTCATTGCTTTCATAAATCTCCATGGCAGCCCTTGCCCAGCATTTAAAATTTTTGGCCTGCTTAGCTGATTAAAAGTTCAGTATAAATTTTAATGTTCATGCTTATTTCATTTTCATATTGGATTCCACTTTAATAAATAAAAAGTTAGCTAAAATTTGAGTAGAACTGTCAATAATGTTAAACCAGAAATACAACAAAATGATTCCTTTTACTAGTCTGGATTTGTTTTTATACCATTTTCACACCCATTGTTTTTAACAGGGTAAGTTAAAAATGTATTAGATGAAATCCAGTAACCAGTTATTTAGGGAGGACATATATCCTATAATATGTGGCAAACTGAATAATTTGCATTTTCATTTAGATGGGCTTGTAGACATTGTTTACACCATGACACACACACACACACACACACACACACACAGGACCCCAACTCTATGGTTTTGATAATCAGTATGCTTGTGGTTTCTTTATCCCTCGCAAGCCTGTTTATTGGTTAAAATTAAGATAAGATTTATTTTTGTAAATGATTGAGATTTATGTAAATATGTACCTTTGTTTTGTATTTTTATGGGCGTTCTATAAGGGCATTTAACACTAAGAGTGGATGTCAGAGTACTTCCTTCTGATACATGTTTAGATACTGCAGAGGGTCCGTGTTACTTGTGATTTAGGTCATTCGCTCCGTGTCTGGTCTCACCTATTGCATGGCAAGAGGACAGCACCGATGAACTGCATGTAGTAGGACCCTGTGTATCAGGAACTGCTGGTATGTGTCACTCGATTTACATACAAAGAGTTTGTCCACATTGTACAGTTTCCATGTTTAATATCATGTGTTGTATTCACAAATACAACATATTGAATAAAATATTTATATGAAGGCATATGAGTAAACATCAGACAACTTTACGTAACAAAATGGCATTGCATCGTGAACGTATATAGAGAAATGTCATGTAAATAAGTTGGTAAACTCAATCTCTCCCTTTACCATGCCAAAGAAAATTTTAGCCCTTTGATGATACCTCTCTCGCTATTTTTTCGGGATAAGACTTCATCATTTTTTTCCTTCAGAAATTAAGTTTCCTGTTACTCAGCGCAATCTGTCACTATTGCTGTTCTGTATAGTAAATCTGATGGAGTTCATTTGTCCTAATAGACCACGTGTTTTGTATCTCCACATACATATGTCCATTGTATCAAGACTCTCTAATGTCCCATTCTTTCTGCATGCATATCCGGTATGGGAGAGTTATTTGTACTAACTTGTGATAGCTGATTGACCTCAACAATACTTAGAAATGTTAATTTTTGATATTTTAAGTGACATCATTTTTATAAGTCTACTTTCTAAAATTTGCTACCACCCTACATGGAAAAATTGTTAGAAGACATGAAGTGGTCCACCCTAAGTAAAGACTAAAGCAGAACTGAGCATTGTTTCACTATGAAACCTGGTGAAGTTAGAGATTCTTGTTTTAAATGTTTGTGTGTTTTTATTGTTTGGGGTACAGGTGGCTGAGATCCACGGTAGGCCCAAAGGATACCTGCTCACATGCTTCCAGTGGTTGACGTCTTGGCAAGTCCTAAGTTTCTTTATCATACCTGGACACCTGCTTAATGCTTAAAGCACTGCAGCAGTCATTCTGTCAAGATGATGAGGACAGATTTCATTCTAACAAAACGCGTAAAACAAAAACTTTCTTGTTCTTTCATTACGCATGTATTACTTCATTTATAGTTTTCTCCCTAATATGTCAGAGATAGTTAATGTTGGATACTTATGGGGGGGATCAGATTGATTAAGATTTCAGTAGGAGGAGATGAAAATAACTAAAAATTATTTTCAACTTTATTTTAGGAAAAGGACATATCCAGGGAAAAACAAATTAAAAGTTTATTTATTTTCCAAAATTCAGGCATATCAGAATTAAGAATGCAAATCATATTACTTTGGAATAGAGTATATTTGATAGCTCAGGTTTCTTAGCTGAGGTGGCAACATGAGGAGTTGGTTAACTCTGGAATACAGAGTGGAGTTTCAGAGTTTTGATAGTTGAGTCTGCAAAGGAAGGCTGAGTTGTTTATATTTGGGTGTTTTTTTTTCTTCTTGTTTTATCATGTAGTCTGTTGCTAACGTCTCCTGGCAGAGACTGTGATTCCAGTTAAAGTGGTAAAATCACTGCACCCAATATGATCTAGACCAGGATTTGTTCACCTTTTAGAGCTTTCAATAACAGCAGACAGCCTGCTGCAACATGCATGCTATACGTTCACCGCCACTGCTCTCCATTCTAGGTAAGCTCAAGAGCCCAGAAAGGCAAGTACAATGATTCTTTTCTTCATTTTTAGGACTTTGGTTGTTTTCATACAATAAAAAGTACTGTGGAGATATTCATCAGTGAAGGTTTGCCCAACAGCATCAGTACCAGCACCATAGGTGAATTTCTTGTCATTAATCTCACTGCAATTTTTTAAAACCATGAATAAGACTGCCCCCACAGCCATTACAAATGTGTCCTTTCTCTGCCTTTTTAAAGAGTGGAGGCTCAGGGTCGGGGATTTAGCTCAGCGGTTCGGTGGCCTGCCTTGTGAAAAAAAAAAAAAAAAAAAAAAAAAAAAAAAAAAGAGTGGAGGCTCTACCTTAGTAATGAAATCAAAAGTCAAAGAACAAAAACACATTTAAGGGGGTATAAGTTATATGAAAATATATAACTATGACTCTTTTCTTTCCATCTAAAATCTGCAAATTCAACCCCTTCTTTACAGATATATTGATGTTGGCATTGCCAGAGTGAAAGCCACACACACACATACACACAATACTATAGCAGACAGAAAGAAGTGAAAACAAGTTATTTCTGTTTTTCTAGAAAAAAGTGTTCAATAAAGACTAGGTACCACATGACTTACGCTATAGCTCAGGTTTTGCTCTATAAGTTGTAATTCATTCCTGGGACATGATCAACTAGACATATTTTCATCTTTGTCCAAAGTTGCAGACAGATCACATTTTGAACTTTATGGAGTAATAACTTCTCCAACATACAAAATCTTTTACTTGGCATACAGAAATGCTGAGGATGGATTTGAAATGAAAATATAAAAAGATTTTGTTGCAGTTGCTATTAATGACAAGGAATAATAACAGAGAGAGAATTGTACAAAATAAGACACCCCTGATGTTATGCGATGAGCTTCAGGGAATTATGGGTAATGCCAGTGGAACAGTTTGCCAAACTCTGCTCAACTCTGAGCCAATTCCAGCCCTCAATCAGTTTTCGTATGGACTAGTTGTTTGGATGAACTTCTATTTACTGCATCAAAATATTTAATGGAAACAATCAAAAAAGAGTATGCGACAAAGATAATGTGGTGTACAAAGTCTAAAATAGTTACTATTCAGTTCTTTATAGAAGCATGAGCACTGCATTAGGGAAATCTGAAGATCACCTGTATTACAATGGCTAAATCATGTAATGAATCCCAATTCCATCAAAGAAGACATTAAATTTGCTATTGTTTAAGTATAGTAGGTTGGTTTGAGGCTTAAAATGTTTATACAGAAAAGAGGAAACAGTATAATCTACACCTATTTCTCTCATTGTACAAAACTGGTACATCAGTCAAAATACTCAGTAACAGTGATAAAACTAATATGATCGCATTCCTTAAGCTCAGGACAGAGAGAACAATTTTGAAAACTCTACTAAATTATGAGAATTGTATTAATATCATACAAATCAGCATCAACTAAACTTTCTCTTAAAATAGTTTTCAATATTTAATTTTTAAGTAACAGGGGATGCATATTTTCCTTAATTTTGATCATCTGGCTTTTAAAGTCCAAGTCATGGTTCTAGAATATTTACATCATAAATATATTTCCAAGTACATTTTTTCATCTTAAAACATTATTTAAATGCTTTTGCTACATTATTTTAGGATTTTACAAAATAATTCTCACTTAGTAAAACGTGGGATTTTTTTAAGCTCTAAATAATTAAAGGTTGTCTAAACTAATATGTGGAAGTAGATCTAGCTGTATATATGTAAGGAAAGTCCCAATAATTGTACATTTTCATAATTCAATGTGAATTTCACACAGAACGAAGTTTCACCGTTAAGAAAATAAACATTTTGTTTCTATCACTGAGTGAATATTTGTAATTTCTATTTAAAACATTCCAGCATTTCGGGGTCCTTTTCTGAGCATTTGGAATAGGTGCCATTTTGCTACACATGCTATTTTTGGCTGCTTCACATGACCCTACTTTTCCTCAGAAAATGACTCAAGGGAAATTAACTCATCTTCTCTCATATTTCAGATTCATCATATTTCTAAGTGTTGTATTTTTTTAAAAGTCTACATTAAGTGGTGAAAAATATCTTATTTCTTGCATATGTAATCCCTGCCCAGTCTTTAAAATGTGGTATTTTAGTTTAGGAACCTAAAATGAATATCCTTTTTCTTTTTTTTTTTGGTTCTTATTTTCAATAGGTAAACATATTCTGACACAGACTATAAACAATTTACATATTTATTTAAGCAGTTAAATTGTACATTTTTCATAATTTCTTCCTTTATCTTAAAAGAATCTTCTTTTGTGTGTTAAAAGTGAGACAGACAACTTCTCATTAGCTATGTTAACAAGTTTTTTTCCCTTTGGAAGCACTCTCGATTTGCTGACTCTCTAACTCACAGGATACCTCCTGTGTGTTTGTCTCCACAGTCCCCACTTGCTGAGTGATAAGAAGCCCTAGGAAAATCTGAGTGATGGGTTTACATGAGACTGGATCTTTTCCTTTGATTCTGACATGGCCACTCTTGTGTAGCAATGTGGTTTTCTGAAAACTGTGCTGTTCATTCTTCTCAACTTCAGTACCATGGGCATTCAGAGCCAGTAAATCCTTTGTCACACACTGTAGACACACTGTCTCGGCCTCTACCAATAAAATAGATGTCCAGAGCACACCTTTCTACCCCACTCAGTGTGACAATCAACACTGTCTAAAGACACTGTTGAATGTCTTCCACATGGCCAAATCGCCCCCATTAGGAACCACTGATCTTAAGAACAGTTTGTTCTAGTGTTATTTATATCAGGTTTCTGAACTCATATTTAATGGGTACCCAGGTTTCATTCAGAAAGTCAGAAATAGAAAAACATACAATAGTCTGTTAAATCTGTCCTAGCATGGATTATACACAATTTCCTTTGCATTTATATGTTCTAATGATCTAGAAAGATAAGAATCCAAGCCTCTCCCGTGGGATTGTTAAGGATATTCTGTGCCCAGCCAGATTTCACATGCATTTCCAGTCCATCCATCCCAGCATTCACAGTTTCCACAGCTACATATTCCATTCCCTGCAATGAAATAAATACGCATGAGAATCATTGTCATGATCAAAATACACCAAGTTAAAATATCCCACTATAAATCCTACTTGTTCTTAAGGAAAATCAGTTCAGTCATCATCTCTAGGGTTTGTTATAGGATGATCTTATTGATTACATTTTATGGAATGGAGAAAAGTCTGATCTTTCAAACAATGAACAGCATCTATTCGGAGCCATAATCTACAATCAAGCAGTAACTGTCCTCGACTGCGGCAGCCGGGCTGCCATGTCCCAATTCTATTGTCCCTTTAAGAATGAGTTATACCTGATTTACTAATAAATACCGAAAAACCATAATACTAGGCAGGCCAGATGGACAGCTAGAAGAGAACCCTTGTGTAAGAGTAACAGACCATGAATGCCTAATTTAATGACATACTATTCATTTTTAGCTTCCGCTAGAAATAAAAAGAACAAAATCTGATTCCATTTTCCCTGTAACTTGTTTAGGCAAATGTATTTTACAACAAATTACTGGGACTCAACAGAATAGAACAGCACTGATAATCACAGAGGTTAGCCTTTTTTATATGTTGCCCCCGACAAACACACATGTATGCTGTTCCCTGAAAACAAGCCGACACACTTACTTTTGGTGCTTGGACCCTCTTTAAAATAATAGTCCATCTCCTATACCATGTTAAAAGTAAAGTGATTGTTACGATTTCTTTCCAATAGATAAATTCGTGTGTGTGCATTTGTAGGGTAGGTTACCTTGAGGAAATCCCCCAACAATCATGTAATTGACTTAATTCCTTCCGTCTGTGCCTATTCACAAACGTTTACTTCCTCTTTCATCGTTACTTCCTGTTAACAGCTGTCCCTTGATTACATGGATGCCGTCCCATCTGGTCCCTGAAATCACTGAGGGGCAGGTGTCGTTTGGCTCCCTTGCAAATTGTGGCAAAGAACAATTAGGGTAGCTCAATACCACACCTGTGCAGATGAGACCATCGTGCTTGTCGCAGTCTCTGTCATCACAGTCACAGAATTCCCCGGAAATAAACCACTCTTCGGCAGAGCAGATGCACTTTCCACAGTGACAAGAGCCTGAAATCACAAAGGCCATCGCTTGCGTCACTGTGTAACCACCACGAGTTGAATATCGTCGACACACAGACAATAGGCTTCTAATAACCTATCTTCCAAAGGTAAAAGTTTATCGAATAGCTGGTTTCTCAGAGGGAAGCTTTACTTACTGTAACTCACAAAGGTCACCAGCCAAAGCCTTCATTATGGATCGAGACGGTTGCAATTAGCCTGGAGCAAATGTTCTGAGGCCCAGACTGGTTGAAATGTCAGTGAGAACAGAATGCAGCTGATTCTTATAGACGTTCTCTCAAAAAATACCTGGGTCAAAATACCTGATTTCTTTTCCCCTTTTTGCTTTTGTTTTATGAATGAAATAATGTTTTAATGGTGTCTCTTCTTTAAAGGAATCCAGTAACATGTTCAATTAAACAAAGATGCACTTTGTAGTTAAAATAACTATGAATTATTGGGCTCATAATTTCGGATTTTTGTTGACATGATTTTTTCTGAAGTAGGCACACACACATGCATATACTGAGTGGCTACGTAAATTCCTCTCATGCACTTATTATGAAGTCAGAGATGCATAGTTGAAGATAGCTCTAATCTTCCCCAGCCTAAAGGGTCACACTTTATGAGGCTTTAGGTTCAACCACTTGTCTCACCATTTCACCCATCCCCTCCTTTTTAACCATCTTCATAATTTCTAAAATTTACTGCTTGATGATTAAAATACCTAGTTACTAAGAAATATGTTTATTGGGCCAGGGATTTGGCTCAGTGGTTTTGCCTCCTATCTACTCACAAGCACAAGGGCCCAAACTCAATCCCCAGTACAAAAAAAAAAAAGAAAAGCAAAAGAAAAATACATTTTTGATGTTATATTTTAAATCAAAGACAATATATGAGTTAAACAATGTCTCAAAGGGAAGAAAGTTCTGTCAAGTCTAAACAGCTTTCACGACAGGCTAGAAAAATAATCTTTCACATGGTAAAACTCTTTCCTGTACAGCAAGAAAGACAACTGTAAAATGATCAAAACTTTCTTCCATTCTGTTGAGTTTGTTGTTCTTTCCAAATGTGATTTCTTCTTACTAAGAGATGGTGATTGCTAAATTTTTCAGCTCAAAACTCACTTTGAGATGCCGCAGAGTAGTAAAAGCATTGGGACATAGTTAACAAAATTCCAAACTTACAGAAGTTCAAAATATATTAAGAGGGTGGGGCAGGAATCAATCCCAAGTCCTGCTGCAGAAACACAGGGACTTCAAAATGATGGACAGTCTGAGCAAGTAAAGTGATTACCAACTGACACTGAGCACACACATCACAAAAGCATTCCAATTAATGTGTCCCACAGGAAGTCCTGTGTGGCATTTCACAACATGGAAACTAATACATACTTTGAGGTGAAAGAATCCCCCCATGCTCAGATTAAATTTGTTCCATTGCTTATTGCATATTCCAAGAAAATAGAATAGCTGTGTTATGAGAGTCGTTCTTCAACTTATGTTTAATTTCTTGCTTAATGACAGCACGATTTCACTGAGTCTTAACCTATTTCCTTCAGTACCTGTGTTGATCTGCAGGCTCCTGAGCAAACTACAGACATCATTTAGTTCTGATGAGTGATTAACAATCTGGTAGTTAGTTGCTTGGGCCCCTGGACACTGGTCTTCCCAGGTCAGTCTGCAGAGCACAGTGGCTCTCTCTTGGTCTCTTCCAGATGCAGGGGATTCCTATTTTGAAAACTTAATTGTCCCAATTTTAAAGACTTTTTTTTCATATTTCTAAGCATGGGCATGTTCAACACTCAACTGCTTCTTTGACAAATGGTTAGCGATACAGCTTCCAACAAGGAAATCATGGAACATTACACTGATTATTAGAAAAATCTCCTCAAAGGCAACAGTATTTAGGGTTTTGATTCTGTGAATAAAAGAAGGTTACTTGACAAACTGTACTCTGGAATGTTCAGCTTCAGGCCACAGGAAAGTATTTTTCCAAAACTGGTTTGTTCAGTTAAAGATCACAAGGATATACTGATAGCACATTTGATGAGTTAATTCTAGTTCCAAAGGTCTACTAGTCACAAAATACTTAGAATTTTTTAAAAAAGAGGCTTGATTTTTGTATGTGCTATGAAACAGTAGCTTTTCTCAGTCAGCATTTTCCCAGCTGTGTTGTTCTTTCCTGTTTGTCCAGTGTTCAAAACATCTTCGAGGTAGGAAATTCTTCACCGCTTGTGTAACTAGGAATAACCCAGCATGTAATAATAACAGTGTGAGTAGTTACTAGGATCTACTACAGCACCTGCTTCAGCTGTGGTTGTTATCATCAGTAACCAACAATGGGGTCAACTGTCTCTCTCTGGAAAGTGTCAGATTTAGGGGGAAGATCCTGCCTGACAAGCATAGGCCCTCTGCCTACCCAGAGGTGATCAATTGCTCTGCTCTGCTGGCTGGGGCCCACTGGACCAGAGACCCAGTCCGACATAGGTAGCAGCCGGCCCACCTTACCAGGAGCTCTAGGGTGGTAAGTTCTTAACCACAGCACCATTAATTCATTTCTTTCTTTCTCAATGTAAGATGAACCCTTAAGAATGTTCCTATCTCTCCCTGTGCTTTTTGCTGGCTTCCATACTTGGGGAACGAGGCACATTTTCTCATGTATCTTCAGAGCAGCCTTAGAATTTAAGAAGGGAAAAAAAATCAATTTCTGCCTTCCAAGATGAGAGTGGAAGAACAAAGAGGATAAGGGCACTGCCTAGAACCACCGAGGCAATAAGCATCATTTAACTTCAGATTTCAGACTGCTTTGATCTACCCCTCAATCCAGCTGTCTGCTTTTTTTT